CTTTAACGCATGAGCTCTTTCACACATACAACAATAGCGGTTTCGTATTCCGACAAATAAGACTTTGTTAGAACGAAATCCAATAATTGTAGCCTACATAACAATCATATTATAATAATTTACACTAATTTGCTATTTATGCGATCATGTGATAAAAAAATTCTCACAGCTCCGGATAACGCGTCATACTTGGTCTTGTAACTCCGTTTTCTCCATTGACCGTCAGCAATTACAGGGCATAATGGTACACCGTCAGTATCAATATCTCCAGCCTCTATCGCTAATTGCTTTTCCTCAATGCCGGCCAATCTCATCTGTTCCCATGCCGTTTGCTCTATTACTGTACTAAGTTCATCGAATATTTTACTGTATGTATTAGAGCTAAGGTAGGGTATATCTAAAATCGCGGAAAATTCACTAAATTGAGTGTATCCTATTCCAATTCCAATGGTAGCAGTCACAATTGCCTTATTGATAGGTATATATGATTTACTTTTTTCAGACTCAATTTTGGTAATTAGATTACACGTTTTACATTTAAATATCCACGTACAAAAATAACCATTACGAATTTATTTTAAGAGTTCAGAGTTCATAAAAGAACATTCGAATGCAATGTCATGAACACTATTTTGCAATTGTCGAAAAAAGTAAAAAATGTCAACAATTCTTCGTCCAACCCTACGATACACAAAAATTAATAATATTTCAACTCTCAATTATGTATATACAATGTATATTATACATAGTATATAGGAATTAAACATATTTAGTATATAAACCAATTTTTCCAAGATTTGTAAGATAAGTAAATAATACAAAACAAATATTAACATAATTAATAATAATGAGTGTCGAACTACATTTTATAAATAAATTAAAAAACTAAAACAATAAACTAAATAAACTTAAAAGATGTTTACATTAAGTTTTTAGCTGTGTGTAAAGAAATGCCTTGAAGTTTGCTCAATGTACGTTTCAATAGAAGTTTGAGTGGTGTTTATAATTGAACTGTCTGATAAAATTTCTATAAAACTCGATTGAGCGAGTGGACTTTTAATTTCTAAAGTTAAATTTAATGTATTGATATCACTATAACTGTTGCAAAAAACCCCGGGTCGTGGTCAATTTTTATAATACCACCCCTATTAAAGTGCCGCTCTAGGCAGGTGCCTAGCTCGCCTATACCTTGAGCCGGCCCTGTTTACCGGCGCAGTGCATATTGCGTCCGCCGCGGACTTCTTGTACGAAAAAAAATTACTAAAAATCAAAATTTTGTCCCACTATGTCTTGTTAGTAATTCTTAGATAACAGTGGTAATTAAACTGTCCATAGTAGTTCCTCCCGAAAATATTTTCTGTATACACCACTAATACGCCGTATTATTATAAGTAACTTATGTTTATTGACATTATCACAACGAATTTGGGAACGAATATTAGATATATTAATAATATTCTGGATCGCTGATAGCTTTATTTCTATAAATACATTAATACTATGTATTAATAAATTAAATACGTTAACATTAATTTATGATACTGTTATTAAAAACAAAAAAAAATAATAGTTTCAAAATAATTTTAAAAGTTCAATAATTCACAAGTGAGCAAATTTCCGACTACAAAATTTTAGCGTCCCCAAAAAATTGGCGTCCGGAGCAGTTGTAGCCAGTGCCCCCCCCCTCCCTAAATGTGGCCCTGAATATATTGTATAATATTCTCATCGGTATCGATGGTCTGTGGTCAGTGATCACATCGGGTCCTTGCGGTCAGTATTATCATAGAACAAGGACGTACTATCGTCGTTAGGGCTACATTATCTACGGATATGACGTATATAGATACTATAGTAGCTAATCACCACGGTTTAAAATATACTCGACTGTTTACGAAACTTAGGGGCGGCGTTTGTAATTACTGTATAGTAAATTCATATCTCCTTCCCCCCCCCACACACACACGAAAAAAACCTGATTACGCCACTGGAACACGTTATCGATAAAAACAATAATAACGATATGAAAGCAGTGGCGGTTCGGTCGTGGAAACGGGCCGGGGGAGGAACGAACACACTGGGCGGCGCGGATACAGGAAGACTCCGGGGCCGTGTTCGGTCGGAGGACGAAGCAGACCCGGGGGAAAAACGGCGTGCACGCCGCGTAATAATGATATTGCTCGGGCACCGAACACAACAGCGGCGCGTACGCAACAACGCGCATTACCGCGAAACGGCGGCGGCGGTGCGCACCGTCCTCCCGGCCGCTCCAGCGCCCGATTCAAAGGTCGTCCGACCGAGCCTTTCAATCACCGGCGCATTTCACGTCCAATTAAGCCGGCCGGCGACGGTTGCACCGCAGCGCAGTCGCTCCGTTCGGGTCGGCTGCAACAAACGGCGGACGGACGGACGGACGACGAAGCGCCGCGGGCGTGCCGTCCCCAGCGCGCGCAATAATTTTCCGCCACTTTGCCGCTCTGATCGCGCCAACGCGCACAAAACACGCGGTCGCGCCTCCGCCCGTCGTCGTATTATGTACTATTACTATTATCGTTATTATTATTTTCGCGCGTACAACGGCGTTTCGCCCCGTTTTTAAATCGCGTTCCGACAACAAAAATATCACGCACGACTCCCGGCGCCGTCTTCGAGGTTTCTTTCCCCCCCCCCCCCCCCCCCACGCGCGTGTTCGCCCCGTCGGCGCGGCCTCTTAATTATCGCCGTCGACCGGTCGTCGGGCAGGCACTCGATTTCGCCGCCGCGTGAAATAACGGTTCGGCGCGCGCGCCGTGAAAATTCGTTTCGCAAACAGTTCCCGCGGCGCTGCTCACCCCAGTAAATAACGTTTCGCAATAATAATAATAATAATAGTGCATCGTGTGCTCTCGCGGTGCATTCATACACTGTTTTCGACCACGGTTATTTAATAATGTATTAAAATCGTGTCGTGCACGTGTGTCATCAATCGCGACGCAGTGCTGCGTGATAACACTGTTAAAAAGTATTTAAAATACAACACGAACGGTTTTCTCGCAGTAGACTCTCGACTCGAGCTGTTTCTTCGGCTCCATACGTATTCATTTTGATCGAGAAAAACGTCATTACTAACATTTCGCCTCTCGGTTTTTGATTATGATTCATCGTTTTAAAACAATACCGTTGAATATACGCGCGCGCCTTTGATTGAAAACATTGACTTACCTATTCGTGCAGTACCTACTCGTCTGATTCATTTCCGTAGTACCTAGTCTTATTTTCCTTTGTATACATACAACTCTATAGTTTCGTTTCTCGTCCAAACGATAATCTTAATTTCTATTGATACATCATGCACAATATTGCAGAATTCCATGACAATCTATGATGGCTTTCTGCGTAGTACAAATTCGCTGAATCATTCATTTTTCTCGCGTTACCAAGTTTTCATACTCAACAAAATATAACCAAACTATATAAAACAATAGGACAAAAATAATCCGTTTACGATAAAGCAGCTCAAGTCGTCATCATAAAATTTTATCTAGATGCAAAAATGTCGGCAATTCGAAATATATATATATATGGGATTATGAAAAAAGGTTCTATTATTGAGTTTAACATGAACATTTTTTTCTTTTCGTACATAGTATTATTTAGGTACTGGAATGAAACAATTTTTATATACCTACAGTACTCACAGCTTATTGGAATCAGGTAATTTGAGTATATTAACCGAATGAGTCAACAAGGCCCGAAAATGAAATACACATATAGTTTGATTTTCAAAAATGTAGTTAAATTTGAAAAATATTTAATGAGATTTTATCTTAATAAACCAAAAGCATGTGCATATAATACATAAATGAAAATGCATATGTATAGTAATATTATTTACATTAAATATAAATATTAAAATTTACAAAAAAAAAAAAAATAATAATAATGTAAGGGTAGAAAAGAAAAACACAACAATTTTTATCCATTACTGACGGAAAATATTATCTTTTTTCACTGAGCATTTCCACTATAATGCTCAAATAACACTACAATTATAATTGTATAGTGACGGCACCTGGCATGGGACAAAGTGGACTAGAGCCCACCTTTAAGTCTTGGGTCTCTCCGTGGCTTACCCTAAAATACTAATAGTACCTACAAATAATTGTTTTAGTAAGTTAACATGTCGAAGTGTAAAAGAAAAATTGAAGCATAGGGGGTTTGACCCTCCCTTGCACAAGTGCTTATCGCCACTATTGTTTTTATTTACATATCAATTAAAAATAGTGAAAATGATATAATATTATATTATAAAATTAATATAATATTTAAAATAATTAAAGTAAACAATTTGGCCATCGCTAAAAAATGTTAGTTTCCTTTAAAAAATGTTCACTTCAGCTTGGCCTACTTGGAACTAAACTTCTTGTACCGCTACTTCAGTTGTGATTCCTATACCTAATTCATAATTGATAGAAATCTATCTTATTATTAATTATCAAGTAATCATCTAAAACTATCAAATTACTTCCTTTACCGGCATAGTGAATCTAATAGATGAATATTTTCTCCTGTGTATTAGTATACGTACTAATTGCAAGTGAGCCCAATTAACGGTCTTGTGAACCACAGTTTTATACAGTATACAAAATCATACTGAATAAATAACATTCTCATTTTTTTGTTATTAATATAAATCATTTTTAATTAATGCGGTAATGCGTAAATTATAATAAAGTAAGATAAGTTATTTCGAACGAATGAAATTTTTTTCACTTTATCCTTCTAGATAAGGTATGTTATACCTACTCACGTCAAAAAGGCGTATATCCATATTTTTTTAGCAATATATAATTGAATAAAAGTATATATGTACATCTATGTACTTATATTATGAATTATCACTATCTTTGATAGACGTTGGAACATAGATAGACTAATCTATATTTCTAAGTCCAGAGTTCAGGCAAAACAATTAATAAAAATGAGTGATGAAGTAAAAAAAAAACACTTGTAGGCTCTAAATATATCACTATTTAATTAAATACATAAATATACAATCACCTTTGTTTAAAATAAAATGTTTTGTATTATTAATTATACCTAAAAAATTACGCAAATGTCGTTTTTTGTTGTTCTTTAATCCGTTCTATGTTTTCATCAACAATGACTTCATTTCTGTTGTTAGCAATTTTTTTTTCGGAAAATACCTGGTGCCTAAAAATAATTTTCAAAACTTACAGAAATGTTTTTATTTCAACGTGGTAAGGTAAGATCAACCATAATAATATACACTTACATTCGTAAGAATTGATCAATTTCGGCTTGGCTCAAAGATGGTTTAGTCACTTTTAAAGCTTCCAGAAAATCTTCGTTTTTGATTATCAGTTTACAGATGCTATTGAACTGTATCAAAAATTAAATACGTAATAATAAGTATATAAAGAAAAGAAAATAGAAAATTTAATTTGATCAAAAGTATTGACATTTTTGGCTCTAATGGACAACAGTAATAATCAGGGCTAGGATTTGTATGCAATAAAAAATTGTAAAATATACATTTTATTTACCAAAATATGCAAAAGTATGCATTTAAATTTTTATAAGATACACACAAAAAAAAAATTATTTATTGAAGTACAACAGTGGATGGCTGTTTGTCGTAATATAATATAATTGAGAAATTAAATAAAATAATTTAAAATAAAATTTATGTTTGATAAAAAAATCAAGTTTTATACTTTAATCAGGAGGGCTAGAATTAAATACGAAATATTAATTACGAAATATACTTTAAAACATTAATTTTTTGCATTATTATAATCGAAATATGCAATAATATTAATTTACTTCAATATGTGCAATAATATGCATTTTATCCAAAATATGCAAAAGCATGCAAAATAAAAACATCACCATTCATCTCATCACGAGATGATTCGTAGACATTACTGACAAAATCAATAATCAATAGTCGCAAAAAAAACATGTTGTTGCATACGATTCCTAGGCCTGGTAATAATAAATATCTCATATTTAACTTCCAGGTTAACTAACACCGATTGAAACTAATCGACAGTAAGTATATTTCAACATAAGAATTAATTATTGTATGAAATTAATTAATACTATATAAATAAAAATATTGAATATCATTTATATCATATTTAACAAAATATAATATGTATGATGCGTGTACTACATGTGACAAATAAGTGTTAATGGTTTAAAATATTCAAAACGATGATATTGCCATTCCATTACACTACAGGACAAACAGTGCTCTGCTAGAATTATGACAATGATGCAAGGACTTCAAACAGTGTGTGTATATATATATATATATATATATATAAGATACTGTACAGTCGAATAAAAATAATAAAGCAATTTTCCGTTTTTCAAATAGAAACGCGGTTTCGGTATAATTGAAAAATAAAATATAACACTAAAAAGACTCGGAACGACGACGTAGTAAAGAGTAACAAGGTGGTTATTTATTATTATTCGATTTTTTTTTTCTCCTTCCCCACCTCCCTGTGATCAGCGCCATGATTATTTAAATTGTATAAAGTGATTGAATTTTGGTATTTTTAATCAATGTTTATCGAGTAAATATAAACAAAGTGGTGCGCGTTAAAAGCACGTCAACGTACACAGACTCAGACAAGAATAGAACGCGATTATTTAATTGCGGGACATCGATAAACCATTGAAATCGCGTCACCCGTCACTGGTCGCTTTGTGGTGCATCCGCACGCGCGCGTGCGTGTACACAGTAGAAGCACATTGGGATGGGTTCGCGATTAATGACTTCTTTACCTTTGGAAAGTATTGTTTGCGTTAGGTTTCCATTCTAGAACGGAATTGGTTTCGCAGCCGCAAATCACCGATCGGCGATTTATATTAGTATTTATTTATTTTTTTTTTTTTATTATTATTACTATTTATTGTGTGTTCTTTATTTTTATTTTATTATTTTTTCCCCTCGCGCAACGAGTAAACATTGACACAAATTCTATGCGGAAATCAACGGCGATGACGAATTAATAAATATGTACACTCGTCGGCTTATCTCGTGTATAAACGAAAAATATTCAATTCGTCGCCATAACTAAAAGTGGAATTGGTATTGAAAATCACCATACAAGAGGTAAATGATAAAATATGTTATCGTAATAATAAATCAGTTTTTAATCTGTCATACGGTCATTTGATAGACCAGATATACCTAAAATATAAACATACACTATTCGGCAACACGCGTACACGATAGTCACTTTGACAACACGATTCTATTACCATTCACAGACTATTATAAACAATACGAAAACGAAGAATAATATTATATAATAGGTATTTTTATTTTCATTTTTTTTTTCTAGGTCGTAATAATAGAATTGTTAATAACGATGGGTGAAGGGCAACGTACACGTGGCAATCCACACTTACAAATGAATAATTCAAATAATAATAAAAATAAATAAATATATGTATCATAAAATAAGGAAAACGTGAAGGGCGTGTGAGCGGGAACACTACTCTAGCCCGCGCTATCACTCGCACGTCGCGGAGCTATCTTATTTTTATTTGTTTGTCGAATCCAAACGAGGGGAACATCGAGCGGCACCACCACACTCGTATTTATGTCATGTTCGCAGATAATACCCAGCTTGATTGCCTCGTTTGCTTACTCAGTTTTATTTATAATATTTTATGGCATATCAACAATTGTGGCAACGATATCGTTGACTTTTTTTTATTATTAATGGGAGAAATATAAATGTTAATGTGTGTGTCTGTCGTATAATTAGTATCGATGATATAATCTTTACCTATCATACTTGTATAATCGAGCGGAAAAAATAAATGACACGTACGTCTAAAGTTGGTGGCTTATACTCGTTTGATTTGTCACGTTATATTATATACGGATTTAATTGTGTATAAAGTTGTAAAATAAGCATTTTATATTGCCGTCTTTCATTGCAGTTCATCAAAAAGTCTTATAATTTTAGCAGATTCGTCTACATATATATTTAAGAGGAAATAAAAGGAAAAAGCAAATGTTCTCGACAGAGATTGATTTTCAATATTTTAGAAATGTCGAAGTGTTAGTTTATCTGCTCGCCTAATAAGAATGAAAGATAATAACAAATTAGACACTCAAAATATTATAATATTAAATTAAGAATAAGGTCAATGTCTATTAAAATTATCTTTAAACCGATTTTTATCATGAGATACTACTTCTAATAAAAGTACTATTATTATAATACCGTAAGTATTATTAATTTCTAATTTACAGTCACTGTAACTGAATATTTATCGAAATAATGTCAATTATACTAATACTCGTTTTCCTATGTCATGTATATAAACTTACATAAAACTTGACATTTCGAGATTAATTAGTCGAATGTACTTGATTATAATATGTATTATATAATTATAGAAAAAATTTTAATTTTGAATATAGAAGTACAGATATAAATTTATACTCACATTTGAAGACGATTTTCCATTTTGTTCTAAAAATAAAAAATAGTGTTATTAAAATCGATGAAACCAAAATTTCTTGTTTATATAATTGACAGTTGAAAATTTTTATAAAATTCCAGTTATAATTTATATTTTAAAATAAAGAAATAAACATATTTTTTTCAGTGAAACGAAAAAAAGATTGGTATTATCAGAGCCATATTACTTATTTTTCAAGTCTTCTAAATAATTTCGTAAAACTAACCTAAATTTTAAATGTCTTTTTTTTTTGTGAAAGTTAGAACATCAAAAATTCAATCTTCTTCATTAAGAAATTTGGTTATGAAAAAAAAAGCATTAATGTTTCACGTTATTATGTATCAAAAGATACTAACTATTTATAGATAGTTAACTGTTAACTGTTAGTAAAGTCACATACGAAAGAAATATGAACTTCTATTAGTCTTTGATAAAATCATCTCTAAATGTATATTTATGTAAATATATTTTTTAAACCTGATAAGTCAAACATTTTCTAATTATTCCTCGAATACGAAGGATACCATTAAAATACTAAAGAAAATGTCTCGTATCAGATTTCGATGTCAAAAAAGTAAAATGACGTTTGTTAGAACCCTCTTTTATACAAAATAATAAGTTCGCAAATAATATACTGAATGGAATACCTGATAACTAGTATTTTGAAACTGATATGACCGTTGCGTCAAACTAAACAAAGTTATATCGATAGTTCATTATCATGTTAAATAGAATTATAAAACATTTAATTGATTTTCCCCTATAACTTTTGAAGAATTTTAATGGTTGATTTACAATAACATAGTATTGAAATAATGTAGAACAGATCCAATTAAATTATAAAGTTGAAAAATGTGTTATTGTAAAATTATAAGGGTATATACTTACATAAAGTTGTTTAGTTCATTAGTTGTAAGATTAATTATCTAAAAATTAGTGCAATATAACATGTTTTAATTATGTTAGCACTTTACTATAAAGTTTAAAAAAGAAAAAAATTAAAACATAGTTTATAATTTCATGCTCTCTAGTGCATGAGAATAAGAACTATATAAGAACTGTATATGTAAAAAAATATTCTTAACATCTATTTTAATAGTTTCTATATGAATATTAGAACAATTTGTTCATAATTTTTATTAGAAAATTACATAAATTACATAAGCGTATTGTTTTATACTATACAAAACTTATAAATTATTTAAATTATTTTAAAAACACAAAATTAGTTATTTTTTAACTGAAAACTTCGTTTCTTAAAGTACCTACATAAGCAAATTATCTAATTCAGTGTTTATTTCTTTAAATATTCATTAACATTTTCAGTTTTATAAATGTAAATCTAATATTGGTTTGATTTTAAATTTTTTTAATTTACTGTATACCAATACTTTTTTAAAAATCATGCGTTTTATCTGTTTATTTTTCTTGTAAAAATATTAATTTAATAATACTTGAATGTGCTTAAATATTTTTATTGATAACAAAAAATAAGAAGATATATATACAAATTAAATACATAATATTTACGAACAAATAATCGCTAAAGAATAAGGAGTAATTAAATATTACCATCAAAATAATTAAATTATAAAAGAACAAAAACCTCATTTCTACCAAAAATTATGATTTAATATAATAATAAGAAAAATTCATGAATTGTTCTTTGTATTTAAATTTAAAGAATTAATTATTTTTCCTTGACGTTTTACTAAACTAAATTATGTAAATACATAAATAAATTTGTTTCACAAACCTTTTAACGATTTTTTTTCTGCTATTGAGAAAGCTGTATATAATAGTCCATTTAAATCTGCGCCAGTATAATTTATTGTTTCAGTAGCAACAGTATGTAAATCAATATTTTCAGATAAAGTAACGTTTTTACTAAGTACTTGTAAAATATCTTGTCTATCACTCTGGAAAAAAACGACAGATTTTTTTTATCATCAAAATCTACAGTTTTAATTATTCTTCGTTTTATAGTTAATAAACAGTAAAATATGATTATAATTAAAAAGGAAACCCATTAGAACAAACTTTTAATCTAATAATTAAATTACATTAAAAGTTTTTAGTTTTATGTTGACATTAAAACCCATATAACATTTTAGGAATTAATTTTATCATTGCATTATTTTAAGTTAAATATAGTAAAAAGTATTACTAACTATACAAATCACAAGTAATCTTTTGAAATAAAGATTTCTGGGATAGATGTCCTCTTGACATTTTTTATTTTTTAATAATGTTCTAAATATATATTATACTTCTTACATTAAGTTAATTCATGAACAATTAAGTTATCCGCCCACAAGAAAATTTTGGAAACATCACTTATACAAATCATATATATTCTTCATAAAAAGTATAGTTAAAGCGAACATTGAGTTAATATAATTTATTGAATTGTATTTAATTTTATTGATATCAATTATTACAAAAAATTTAAGTTATTAAATTAAAACGACTTTATACACCAAATTACAACTTATTACAACCTAATAATGGCTTATATAATAAAAATGTTTATATATTGAATATTGTTATTATCTATATTAATATTATTAAATAAAATATCCAACTTCATTCTCATAATGCACAAATCACAATTGTAAAAATATTTTATTCTCTATAGTAAAATATAAAAATCTTACAGTAGTTGGAATTGGACAATGTAATTTAACACCAATTCGACCAGGTCTTAACAATGCTTGATCAATCAAATCAGGACGAGAAGTAGCTGCAATCACCCATACTCCTTCAAATGAGTCAACGCCATCTAACTGCGTTAAAAATTGGTTAACAACTCTATCAGTAACTCCTGTTTGATCCGATCCACGTCTAAAATACAATTTTACAAGTAAATTGATTAAATTGTATTAATACAAATTTATAATTTTTTAAGCTAACCTGGGTGCAATACTTTCAAATTCGTCAAAAAAAATAATACATGGTTTTGCATTTTGGGCTCTGTAAGCAAATGTGATGATAACATTATTTATTAAAGCGTATAAATGAAATATTATCCATTTAATGTAACAATATTATATTAATAATTGCTTTAATTGTAATATAAAAAAACCCCCATTTATAAATCATATGAACATTTTATTTATGAAAAGGAATAAAAACTGTTAGGATTTTATTAAAACAATTATTTTTTATAAATCCAATATAAAAAATAAGTGATGTCATTTAACTTATTTTTAATAGAAGCTTTTTACTGAAGAAGGAACATAATTTCGTCCACATTGACACAGTTTATTACAAGATATATATAATTTGGAGTGCCAGAGTCTGGAGAACCTTGAATATTTTTAAACAATCTTTGTATGAATCTCCAGTATCTATGAAATTGTTTAAAAACATTTAACTGGTTAATTTCTGATCATGTATAAATGAGGTCTTTGATAGGACTAAAAGTCTTCTCTTCATGTATGTGAAAATGAGGTACTAGGTAATACTACTATACTGGCTGCTCATCTCTAAGCTTATGATTACTTATATAGTTGTTTGAATTTAGGTAATTAGTTCATTGTTGCATAATTTTATTTATTTATCTGCAAATTTGTGGTCTCCAAGTCCTTTCGTATCATTTAGGAAAATGTCATTAATTATATTGCATTATTCTATAAACATAAGATAATTTTGTACCATTTCATATAAATATAGAGAATATTTCTAAAATAGTTATACCAATGTTTTGAAAGAATTTAGAATTTAGGTATGTAAAATATGCAATAACATTTCATTAATATAAATATTTACTATATATAAAAACAATACTTAAGTTAAGTTTTAACCTTTAGTTTTAATAATCTCTTTTAAAAACACAATTTATATTAATAAATTATTATTACAGTGTAAACATATAACTTTGAAAATTTGATGTTCTTGCTTTAAGACTGGTGTATTCATTGATAATTTCTTCATCTGAATTTTTCCAACCGAATTCCCTGTACTTTTTTCATCACGTTATCATTCAACTCACAAGTAGTATGATCAATTAGACAAAATTTACACATTAAAAAAATTATAGTGAAAATATTTTGTTTTGAAGAGTAGAATGAAAATAAGACTTTAGCACAATTTTACGTCCCTAGCATAAGCACAGTTCGCCAAACCCTAGCTACGCTACTATTTAGACAATAAATAACAACCTTAGACATTGTTATATGTTATATATTCACCTTTGAAATATTTTTCTAACATTTTCTTCGCTTTCACCAACATATTTTGAAAGTAATTCAGGCCCCTAAAAAAATATTTATTGAAATAACAAAACTCAGATATGAATCATATATTTCTCTTACATTGATTGAAATGAAATTCAAATTACTCTCTCCAACAATTGCTCTAGCCAATAATGTTTTGCCAGTACCAGGGGCACCATATAATAAAACTCCAGACTGCAGTTTAAGAGGACATTTACTAAAAATATCAGAGTGCTAAAATTAACCAAATAATTAAAATAATTAAAATTATACATCTGCTGAAAATAGTTATTTTAACTTACTAATGATGGCCAAATAATTGTTTCAGTGATTATTTGTTTAACTTCTTTTAAACCACCAACTGATGAAAAATTAATATTTTTCTCTTTATACAGCTTAACATTATGCAGTGAAAGTGGAATAGTTTTTTCAAAAACATCAGTTATAACAGATTTATTCAATATATTATTATGTTCACCTGTTTTAAATTAATAGGATATTAACAATAATATTTTTAGATTTATAATAATATTTTTAATTACCTTTACAAACTTCAAACAAAACTTTATCACAATAATCTATAAGATCTTGAATGACATAACTATCCATTTTTTCACAAATGGACATTAAAAAATTATCATTGACATCAATATCAGATCTGATTTTAGTAAAACGTCTTGAAATGATTAATTTTTTATTTTCCTATATTGCAAATAATATTTAATGATTCCATAATATATGATCATATAAATATAAATAATTAATTCATTTCAATTTTAACCTTGTCAATTAATGGTATTTGTACAATGGTTTTAAAAACATGTTTAAACTGTTTTGTAAACAAATTTTCATTTTCTTGATTTAATGGCTTTACAGTACAAATAACCCTGATACAGTGTTCATTATTAGTGTAATTTTCAATCATTCTCATCAATAAATGAAGTGGTCTAAAAAAAAATTGTTTTATTTTACATCACAAATTATATAACTGGATTAAAAAATAAACATTAAAAACCATTTTTAGAAAACAGTTTGAACAAAAATATTATTAAAACTAGATTATATAAATAAATCAAAGATCAAAATTTTATTCATTATTACTAAAATTCGGATTTTTGCATACGAAAATGAAAAAATTTGCAAAAATAGTTCTTTATTGTGTGCTAATAAAATCATTGCAAATAAAAATATTACATTGTATAGACTATTAAAATTTACTGTTATTTAAAAATCATGGAATATGTAATTATTAACTAATTAAATGAATTTAGAATTAACAACAAAAAATATTGATTTTGGAATAGATACTAACATGAAATTACAAAATATGATTTCAGATTTTTAAAATGGAAGCTTTCACATTGTCATGTAGCATAAATTTATACTTAGAAAAGTTTTTTCTACATCACCAGACACTATTAGCCAATATTTAAAACTAGATGTCTTCAGGTAACGATTCTATAATATCTTAACTTTTGTCACTTATTCCATTATTTTTTATTCCATAAATTATTTTAATTTGAGAATACTCTGAAATTTTGGACAGTACTTGCGATAATTTAAGTTTAACTAATCCTTCTTTTTTAAATACACATGTTAAATATATTTTTTATGCATTATTTATAAACTGTTTATATATTCATTTTTTATGCAATTATATAGAATATCCAATTCATTACCATTTTCTTTCAAATATGAAAAATATACTCGTATATAAAGAAAAATTAACTATAGAAATCTATACAGAATAAGATGTTAACATTTGTGATCAAAATTATTCTAGGTGAATTATAAAATATGCATTTGCATAAAAATCCGGGCCCTATTTATAACTAACGAATAATACAATATAATTATTAACATAAAATAGATTAATATGATTTTATTTTATTCGATAGTAAAAATTTTAATTAACAACCATTTTTTATTTCAAGAAATATTTAATTAAGTATTAAATATCTCAATATCATATCTTTTAATTAATAAATTGTAAAAAATTATGATTTTTCATGGAAAAATTTTTCTATAAAATGTAAATATCTTTTTATATTAAAATTATTATCATATTATTATACATTATTGTCAAACCTAAATAAATTTCAAAAAACTGTTGTATACCGTAGATATATTTTAGACATGTCAGCAAACTCATTAGGTTCAGAATTTAAATGACACAAGTCATCAAGATCATCAATAACAATAACCGCTGGTTGGTAATATACACATTCTTGAAAATGACTACATAGTTGTTTTTGAACCGTTTCCCACAGTTTACCTGAAATCAATTAAAACATTGTAAAACCATAAATAAATTAACATAAAATATATTAGATAAAAAAAACCTGCTAAAAAACGTCCGCTTATCCAAATAATTTTTACAAAATATGGACATTTAGAAAGTTTATGACAGAATAATTTAGCTGCTGATGTTTTTCCGGAAGAAATAGATCCTAGAAAATAAAATTTAATGTAAAGCTTATAAATTCATAATTCGTTCTATATTTACCTGTTATTAATAAATTATCGAATGCAAAATATGTTTCTGGTAAATTAGTAAAGCACTGTAAACCAACCTTTAAACACAATGATCCAGTTTTAATCATTTCTTTGAAACACCTTAAAAATAAATATATTTATGATTTAAAGTTAATGAAAATATTAACTTAATTTTAAAATTAATATTGCAAAATTTATTGGCATTTTAATTAGAAGAACTAATTTAAACATAAAAATTACTATAAAATCAAATGGAAATCGAAATTAACTATTTTTAATATCATACATTGTAAATATGTATTTTCTAAAACCAACATTGATTAAAAAATGTATTATAAAATAAAAATAAGAGTAGTATCTTGATTATCATTGTTTTCAAAAATGTGTTAGATCATATAAATTATTCTGTTAAGAAATGTAGTTCACATTTTATACTAAATCTAATAATATTTAAACAACTATAATAATTTATTTTATGGTTAATAATATTATATCAATTATAATAATCGAATATGTTTTAAAAAATAATAAATTACATTAATTTAATTAAAATTAAGGTACCAAAAATATTTTGATAATTAAAAAAATCAATATCATCATAGTTAAATTATAATAAAGTAATACTAAATACTTTAAATATTCTAAAAAAAATGTGGTGTTTTTATTCTATTTGAGTTACATACTTAAGATCATAATATTCCAATTTAGATGTATTACATATAAAACTTTCTTCAATTGGCTGTGGTTCATATATATTAATATAATTATTTTCAGTCTTATATGTGAATGTAAGCATTTCAAAGTTATATTCATTAAGAAATATATAAGGAACAATTGATGGGGAAAATGTCACTAATACATCTAATGTTGTTAATTTATTGAAGACCACCCGCAATATAGATGAATCATTTAAAACCAAAACATCTCGATGAGCTATTTCATCTTTCAATCGTTTTATTGTGGATTTTATTAGAGATTCTTCATCAACAATTTTCTAGAACATAATATTAATAATAAAGAATAAAACCATATTTATAATATAATTAATAACTTTAACAAACCATATTTTTTAAAGGAGAAATATTTATAGTTTCAACACTACAAATTTCATTATCAATTTCACTAACAGGTTCCAATATAACTTTAGAGTTCATTTTTACATTCAACATTTTCTTTAAAGTAGTAGTTATATAAATAGTTGGCCAATTAATAATTTCCATTTTTTCAATGTTATTCATAAATGGATCCAATGGACACAATCGTATAATAACTGATAAATTTTTAGTTTTCGATTTATTTTGAATATCTTCACTTGATTTTGTTTGATCCAATTCATGTAAAAGTGATATTTTAACAAAACTATGATCAGGGCAATATACATCCTCATCTTCAAATAATACTGACATATGTGATTTAGAAATTAGAGCACAATAATCATAAATATAATCAGACTCTAATAATGTTTTTTCAACAAAAATTGTACGATAAATAAAACAATTTTGATATTTTGTAATAGGAATGAAGTTATTTTCATTGATTGTATTGATTTGCATACAATTATTTACATTTTGGTCAATATTTATACATCTCTCATTATTATTGGTTCCAGAAATAAGAACATTTGGCTTCACAACTATTTCTGTTGACTCTTTTAATAATCCTACTTCAACACCGTTATCTAAATCATCTGAAATTTAAATAAAAGTTTATAAAAAATATTTAAAAATGTATTTATTAATATATTTACCTATAAATACTCTTAAATGTATAAACTTAGATACCCATATTGGAAAAATTTGATTCCGTTGAACTATTTGAAGCTGATGTAAAATACCATCTTGAAGAGAAGCATTATTTAACATCTGAAAAATAAATAATTATAGCACATTTTTTGTATAATTAGTTTACATAACACTTATAAATTGATTATGTAAATGAAGATTAGGTAATATTAATAATATTTGTAAATTTTATTGCAAAACTATATAATGTGTAGTAAATCTATAAAATTTTAGCTTAAGTTAGCAAACAATAATAGTTAAAAAAAAAAAATTAAAAACAAAAGGTGTAGTATTAAATCTTATAATAACAATAAATTTTTTTTTTTTATACTGTTTGCATTAAATGTACATGATATAATTTGATTTCTTTTAATATTAGTTGATATTATTGAATTTATATTTTAGTTGTCTAAATATTTGTACTGAAAATAGTGAAAAAAAAATAGTAAATAAACCGGAGTAAACACAAAAAAAAAAAAAAAATGGAACAAAACTTTTATAAAAAATTTTATTTGAAATGTACATAAGTACATATTATACCTATCTAATTTTATTCATTTATTCTCATCTCTAAATATTTCTAAATATTAACTACATAAAATAAATACAGATATGTTAGATATATTAAGTACAGTTGAAAATTACCTACAAATTCACAAATAACCTACCAATAAATCCCAATCTTCATTGGTAACTGGAGTAACATAAACACGATTTAATGGATGCACTGGACCAATGATTGTGATCAGTACATGTTGTGAATTATCAAGTCCCATTGTCGATGATAGTTCATGACTGATGTTCAATGCATCATCTCCGTTAGAATTGAACGGTGTTTGACTGAACGATGTATAAAACTCTCTGGGCGTACCATCAACCGTAGTGATTTTCAAGCAAACCTAATGCGCAATGATAATCAATATGGAAAAATAGCAGCAAAAACATGAAACTTACCGAATGATTGCGATTTGACTGAATGTTTAGCTCTCGAATCAATTTGGATGACAGATGTACAAAACTGTCTTCCACTGGTATCACCTTCACCTGGAGCAACTGGTCGTTCATTGTACCGGTGTTCTCAAGAATAGAATGGCCCTTCGGAGAGCGTGTAAAATTATAGGATAAGATTGCGTTTAGTTATAACATTATAATGCATGTACGTAATAATTACTCGTTTAAAAGTTGAAAATAAAAATATCTTAATGTCATGCACAAGAGTGAAACGATTTTGAATCGGCGAGTTTGCGTCGTTTGCGACTGTGTGAGATAACAACTGATAACAATGGATTACTTATGTCTAGGTGGAGGTAAACCAAGAACAGTGATAATCTCATAACTACAGTAAAATTATACGTATATTATTTGTATTACTCTACAAGTGATCGAAACTATTCAATATTTTTACGCGTCACACTCTTTAATGTAACGAAAATATATTGTTATATAAATTAATCATTAAATACTCAAGGCATGTAAATAGGAATTTTTTTTTTGTTTTTAAGGGGAGGGGCGATTTATCTTCAAAGTGATTGTGGCTTAAATAACGTGCAATAAAGTGTACTTTATACGATCTATGTGGGAAAGGGTGATCGCTTTCAAATTTGGGTAGTATTTCGAATACTTACTGTATTTGAAATACTGTACTCAAAATAATTTCCTTTCGAAGTATTTAATACAAGATTTTGAATATCTTTTTCAAGTTTTCAAAATACAATACCTGTTCCAAATACTAATAAATTAATTAATTATATTTATTATATGATTCATGCGTATTAAAAAATTTTGAACAAAGTAAACTATGAGTCATAACTTTATAATTCATCGTCATTTTTGAATAATATACATTTTATTTTCTATCTTTGGTTATTTTTATTTTTAATGTAAGCAAGTTATAATTTCATCATATTAAAATATAAAATATAAATTTCAATAACGTAAGAACTTTAAAATTATTGTATCGTCTTAACAAGAACTTCCGTGTTCAATGCATAAGCTATGTTTTGGTTTTATATTCAGGGATATCAACAATATCATTCGAATCACTCGATGGTTTATTGTGTACAAAATATATTTATTTAATATTTTATTCTACGTAAAATGTAATCAGTACTATAATAACATCCCATTTTCCCTAATATAACACCTAAGCATATTCAGGAAAATCTGTCAAAATTTTACTAAAAACGGTAAATTTTACTAGTTAAAATATGTATGAACTAAATTTAATGACTCGTGAATTTCTCATAAAATAATGGGTTTGGAAACTTTTTCATTTTTTAAAAAGCTTTTTAAATAAATACTCTTACTTATATATAGGCTTGATAACATTTTCAAAAAATTGTACCTTTTTTGAGCAAAGTAATCACACTGAAAATAATTTAATCGAAAAATGCCAGACTTACAAACAATAATTATAAATGATATATTTATAATTATTGTTATTGTTTATAATAATTATAAATAAATAATTATAATTATCAATAGTTTTTAAGAAGACCGAAAAATATACTAATTTAGGTATCTGTTTCTTTCGTATATCTATGAACATTTAAGAATAATTTGTTGTTAGATAGTCAAATACAAAACTTATTACCCTCCGTTACTACCCCACACAATAGTTACTCTGTTGAAGCTCAGGATCTCTTGGACCCATTTTCTAAAATTTACCTTAAAATATGATTATTATTTAACTCTAATAAAATAAAATTATACTTCTAAATCATTTATTTGACATAAAACAAACAGTTTTCTTTATTATTTATAATGTATATGTATGATAAAATAATTAGCATGACATAAATAGTACTTCGTTTTACAAAAAAAAAAAAAAAAATCAAACTAAAATTTAAAATAAGAACCATATAATAAGCCATAGCATATGTAACATGAAATAAACTATTTCCTTTTTTATTTATAACATATGTGTGTTATGAATTATTATACACATACAACATATTATAATACACATAATATCATAATGATTCCCTTAGACCGAAATATACTACTAAGGGTCTAATGATCGAATATTTTATAATATTTCAAATTATCAACAAACAACTACACGTGTTAAACCTGCAAATGATATAATTCTTATCTATATCCTCCAACATGAAGGTACTCAGGATAAAAAAAATTTATAGTTTAGCCAGCATAAGAAAATTAACAAATTAATTTACAACTTGATCTATTACACCCACATTAGTAACGCAGAGTTAATTATTAGTGGTATTTATAGATAGGTATTTGCCTCAAACTTTTACTAACACTTTTCAGAACATTTTTAGTTTTATTTTTTTTTAACTATTATACCTGATCGAACTCGTTTATAGCAATCTATCTTGCCTTTTTTGATGAAATTTTTCAAAGAAAATAATTTTTTTTTAAAAAAAAAAGCATACGATAATTATAAATGATGAAATAAAGTTTAAAAATAATGTATGCATTCGCTCGTGAGCTCAGCAAAAACAGTAATAATTTAGTAAGTAATATAAATGCTATTTCGTTTTAAATGTTATCACTAGGGCTCATAACTTATAGCTCTAAAAAAAAGTAGTTGTAGGCTCTATAATATGCTCTTAAAAATATTCATATAAGCGCTTAAATGTGTACTAAAAATACAAAAATATGCAAAAATAAATATAGCATAAAAAATAAACAATTTTTATTTATTATTTAAAAAAATATATGTATAAAAAAAAAATAATTTCCACTTATTAAAAAAAACGTATCACGTATAATAAAAAAAATTTAAACTTTTATTACTAAAATTCCGATTGCGTCGCTATATGATACAAATAAATATATAATTTAAACGAAAAGAAGAAGAATTAGTTAATTAACATGAATTAATTACAAAAATAAAAATGAATACTGCCATAATTACTTATAGTTATTAAAAAAAAATGTTTTTAACGCTACAAAATTGAAAAAAACTTAAAAAAAGCAAACTAGCAAATAACAATTTTCTACATATGCAAGAGTAAGTCTGCAAAATAACAAAATAGCACTTATACTTTGAAATATGCAAATATATGCAACATACAATTTTTTATTTAACTTCTTTATTATCCAAAACAAATGTATAGCTTACAGTGGCGTTGCTAGGATTTTTTTAAGGGGGGTGTTAATTATAATTAGTAAATATTATATATAATAGGTACAAATTAAAACTTTTATTTTAATTAATTAATATGTATACATAATGTCTGTAATAGAGATGTAATATATATTCGAATTCGGATAGCTTTACCATAAATTATTCGAATATTTGACCATTCGAATATCAGAATTCGATGCTACAATACCTATTATTATTAAACGTTTTGTGTTGCACGAAAACGTAAACGAATAATTTTTCGTCACGTATTGTCGCAATCGCGATAATGTTAAGCTGTATATATGTAATTAGTATTGTGCATTATTTTATATTTCATACTGTATTATCGATTTACCTATACTCCTATAATAATGTAATATATGATACGACTCAAAGGGGGTGTCATATCTACCAAACACCCCCATTATATACGCCACTGATAGCTTACATAGATATTTTTAGGACTTCTCAAAAATAAATATGTAAATGCTATAAATTATGAGTCCTGGTTATCACAATATTATACGCTATTCGATACTATTCTTTTTTTCGATGCCTGTAATAGATAAAATTGTATGGCAATAATAAAATTAACTTAGCATAAAACAATAGTATTATAATAATAATAATAATTATTATTATTATATTATTATCGTTTTTTTATATTTTGGAGTTCTAAAAATTACAAACCATGCGCTTGAGCTGGCTAGTACCACTGTAATTCAGAGTGAGGGTTTGTCGTTAATCATTATGTCGTACACCGCCAATGAATGATAATCAATTATGAAAAATTATATGTTAACACAATAAAAACTGAAAAACACAAGAAAAACTTACGAAGAAAGTTTTCTATATTGATTTATCAAATGTTTACAGTTAATAGAAAAAACATTGTCTGTGTCGTAGCGTTTTCATTTTTTTGATATTTATTCTCACTAATTTTAACTATTCAAATGGACAAATCAAAAAATCAATTTCCATAAATTAATAATTTGGATTGTGTTTAAGTTATTAAACATTTTGAAACTCTACGACCATAGACGTAACTAGACTTCGTGTTCAGGAAAGTGACACCGAACACGTACTTTTATGAGGAATTTCACCCCTTCATTTCACTATGTTGGTGGGTGTTTGATGTTTCGGTGGATGTGGGGTGGGTTGGGTGAATAAATTTACACTCTAGATAGTAAATATAAGGAATATACAAATTAAGTGACAGTCGATCTATAGATGATAGGATACTATGATGCGATAAAGCAATTCGCCTATCAATGCATGTCTTTATACGATATCAAGACATACATTTATTGACATTACATTACATACATTACATTGACATTTATATCTATTTCGTACATATGATGAAGCTAAACGCTTCTCGGTTCGCAGTGTTTAAAAGTGATTATACAGCATGCAAATACATCTTTTAAACATTTTAAGATAGTTAAATAAATTACCAGTAGCCCTTTGAAACATTTTTGAAACATATTTTTTTAAATTACAGTTGTTTAAAAAATGAAATAAACTGTTTTTAGTTTTACATTTCTTTAATTTTAATAACGTATTTAATATTTAAATAATTAAACCTATATTTATATACGCTTCAAATTGATATTAAGTGTTTTTTTCTATAACCACCATGAAGTAGGTAAGCAATAAGTAAGGTAAATAGGTAATAATTAATACCTAATTTATAATTATCATTTTCATTCTGTATTTTGTATTTGTATTTGTATTTTGTATTTGATTTATGATAAAATATGAGGCATTTTAATAGATAATAATTTATATTATTATTAAGGGGCATATTTAACAATAAATACAATCGTATTCTAAAATAGACTTAATAGTACGGGCTGTCGTTTATAACCCCCTAACCTCCCCTTGTTGGATACGTCACTGTTGAATAGTACCTACCTAATAGATAAAATTGGAGTGATAAATTGAGAGCGAAGCGAGCGACTTTATGATAGTTAAATTTGCAATATAATCATTCAGTCATGTAATCTGTCATTATTTTGCTCTAACTTTTTGGGTGATGGTATTAACAAATTTGTATACTTTGCCCCGGCAAATAAAATACAAGTCGGCGCCACTGGCTCGGGATATGCAAGAAAACTATATATATATAATATGTACAAAACTGTACTTATAA